GCAAGAGCTGAGCGCACGCAGCCCCCCTACCCCCGGGGTCCCACCGGGCCCATCCCATCCCAGTGCTGAGCGGCACCGGTGGGTGTATGGGGATGGTCCTGATGTTCTGGGTCACCCCCAGCCCCTGAGGGGCCATGCAGGCTGGGAGGGGGACACCTCCTTCCCTGCCTCAGTTTCCCCAGCTGGGGGATGGGAGGACATCTCTCATTTTGGCATAGCCGTGACCAACCGTGTGGTGACAGGTGGGGACAGCCACAGCGCCCGGCTATTTCGGGGAGGTTATTTTTACCCCTGGGTTTCCCAGCAAGGGGCTCAGCGAGGTCCCTCCCTCCCTCCCAGCCAGGACCCCTCTCGTCTCCCTGCGCCCCCTCGGCTGTTTGGGGCTGCCCCGCTCCCACGCTCACCCTGTCACTCCCATTCACCCTTTTTGGCTTGATCTAAACCCATTTCCCATTCCTCCTGCTGGGCACTAAACTCACCGTGCCGAAAACTGACGGCTGCTCTGACCAGCACAGGGATGTGCCACCGACACAGAAAGTCTCTGGAATCAGCAGCGTAATCACATTTGGGTGAAATGTAATTATCGGTGAGGTAATTATCGGTGTGTGGAGGGCACAGGGCTCCCCTGCATCCCTATCCCCCCTCCCATGGCTCCATCACCTTCGCTCCCCATGTGTCCTTTGCGTATTTAGCACGAGCCTCCTTAAGCGAGCCCGTTTGTCCCCGACCCGTCCATCTCTCAGCTCACCAGGAGCATCCACGTCCCCATCAGGTTGCACCAAGAGTCCTACAGACCCCACGATCTCAGGCCTATGACGGCTGTTTCTTTCGCAAGACCCTTAACTAATAATTTTGGGCACGGCGGCTGCCTGGCCGGGCTCCGCTCAAGGCACAGACAGTGCCCGGCTCGAGCTCCAGCGATGCACAGGGGGAGGGAAAAAAAGATAAATCCCACAAGGGCAGAGGAAAAGCTCTGTGGATTCTGCTTTAACCACCACATCTGCAGCCAGACACCGCCAGAAGCCGGCGGCAGCGTCCCCGTGGCTGTGCCAAGGGGACAGGACACGCAGCATGCAGCCATTTTCATTACCAGCAGCGCTAAAATAAACTCAATTTGCAGCAGCGTTAGTCACAGGATGAACTGAAGTGCAGCACCCTGCATTTTGGGGGAGCAGCGATCAGAAAACCAGTAATGGCTCGTTCTGTAATGGTGTCTGGCTTTGGGGGTTTTATCTTGTTTTTCCCTCGATTTCATTTTTTCCACACCACGCTGAGGGGACAGGACATTATTTCCCTGAAATTCCCCAGTTAAGTGGCTCCCACAGCTCCTGTATCCTTCCCTGTGGCCGCTGCAGCACTTACCTGGTTTTATCCGAGATGTTCTGGTGTCCCAAAGGGAAGGGCCAGGCACAAGCAGTGTCCAGGGAGTCACAAATGGAAGGGAAGTGGATGCGGAGCAGAAACAGGATTTACTGACCGAGTCCCTGTCCATGGACCTCAACATCCTCCAGGGCTACACTCTGCCTGGCAGCTGGATGGCAGATGATGCTGGATCCCATCTTCCCAGCCACAGGAATTCTCCAGCAGTGCCGTGGCTCTGGGCTGGGAGCAGGCAGGCAATCGAGCAGGCCAAGATGAAGCCCCTGAGCTGCCGTCCTCACCCAGGCAGAGCATCACCTTGGTCACCCACAGCTGCCCCAAACTGCTGCTGATGGCGTGTACCTGGGGAGGTCGCTCAGGGCAGGGCCGTGAGCAGTCCCATTAAACATCAAATTGTTTCCACAGAATCATAAAATGGTTTGGGTTGGAAGGGACTTTTAAAGGTCACCTAGTCCAACCTCCCTGCAATAAGCAGGGACATCTTCAACTACATCAGGTTGCTCAGAGCCACGTCCAACCTGACCTTGAATGTTTCCAGGGACGGTGCATCTACCACCTCTCTGGGCAACCTGGGCCAGTGTTTCACCACCCTCATTGTAAAAAATTTCTTCCTCGTATCTAGTCTAAATCTTCCCTCTTTCAGTTTGAAGTCATTACTCCTTGTCCTATCACAACAGGCCCTGCTAAAGAGTTTATCCCCATCTTTCCTGTAGGCCCCCTTTAGGTACTGGAAGGCCATCATAAGGTCTCCCAGAGCCTTCTGTTCTCCAGGCTGAACAACCCCAACTCAGCCTGTCCTCACAGCAGAGGTGCTTCAGTCCCCTGATGATTTTTGTGGTCCTCCTCTGGACCCACTCCAACAGGTCCATGTCTTTCCTGTACTGAGAAAGTGCAGGAAAGTACCATTTCCTTCGTTTGCCAATGCCTCGCCCTTGGGGCGGCCTTTAAAAAAACTGCTGAACTGCTCACAACTGGGATGATTTCTCAGCATCTGCAGGAAAAGCTGTTTCTTTTAAAGGAAGGAGGACTCTGGTAAAACGATGTCAGAGCTATAGGTCTGGTAAGGACAGATAGATGGTTATCCCCCAATGCATTTGGGGTGGGGTGGGGGTGCAAGAAGGGGAGGCAGAGCAGGGAGCACCAGGAGGATGAACTTCGGCTGCTTCCACCACCCCTGACCCTGCAAGTTCAGTCCCACTCAGCAGCCACCGGCGGTGAGCCACGCACAAGAGCAGAGCACGGCTGGGGCATCGCAGCCCGACCCACCAGCAGGCAAGGCAGAGGACCCAAACAGACCATGGGTCCCCAGGGCACGGGGTGCTCATCTCTTCCTCAAGCCCTCTGTACACTCAGCGAAGGCAAATCTGGACTGGAGCTGGCGCGGCAGAAGGAGGAATGAAGAACAACATTGTTTTCTCGTCCTCAGCACAGATAAAGCAACAAAGAGAAAACCAGGGCAAGAAATGGCCTTCCTGACTCCACAGAGGGACTCTGAAAACTCAGGAACATAAACACATAAAGCTGCATTGTAACAGAGACAGGACTAACGAGGACTGAAAGCCACATCCCATGCTCTGGTGAGACTGGGGAAAAAAAAGCTGCAAACCTCCTGAGCTCAGCTGGGGAGCAGAGGACACTGCTGGTGCTCCTTGCAGGGCCACCAGACTCCTCCAGCTGCAGGGCAGCTGCGCTGCACAGCTCAGCAGGTGCTTTCCACACCTCCCCGAAGGCTCTTCGCACTAAATTCCAGTTTGTACCCCATTGTTTCAGGCAGGATTTTTAAATTTTCTTCTATATATGAATTGCTGTTAACCCAACTGGATAACTGAGAGTAACTAAGCAGTTAAATGACATCACACCAATCCCAACTTGCTGCTTTAGAGCAGGGGACAGCCCCTGCTAACAGTCAGTGAGGAGAGGAGATGGACACGCACGTGCACTCACACACACACACAGAGGCATTCTTACGCTGAATCATGCTCCTTCACTTGCCAAGTATTTGCTGGACTAAATCCCTCTTGCACATTTTTGAGACATTCATCTGGTTCACAGAGGGTTGGACCAGCAGTGACTCACCAGCACACACAGGCAGCAAGTTCACCCACAGCAGCGTTCTTTACTGAGGGACCCAGGCAAAACAAAAAAAATAAAACCCAAACAACAGTAATTTATGAAGTTCTGTACCCAGTCTGTCAGGCAGCACGACTGCCGTGTCACCTACGCAAACAGCCCAAAGCAAAGTCTTCTTTTTGGAGCCTTCCGAGCAGGCTTTGTCCTCTCTGCACATACATGGTATGGACTTCAGGTGGTAGACAGGTATTTAAAGATGTTTACCAGCTCAGTATCATTCAACAACTTCAATACATGAAATACAAGTACCTTTTTGTGCATATGCTTGCTCTTGAAGAGGCAAGGTCCTACAAGTCTGAGGGGATCATCTCCCATCAAGGGCCATGTTTCACAACAGCTACATGCAGGTGCTTCCTTTGGTAATCCCTAAATTCAGTTTATTTTGGTGCGTTACTGATCAGTAGTCTGAAGACACGAGGATTTTTGTCCCAGCTGTTGCACATGTACGACTTGCAATATCCCCACCAGGTAGAGCCACAGAGCATCTCTCATTTTCCTTGGACATGCAGTAATGCTTCTTTCCTCTTCCTCCAGGACTATAATTCAGCCAAAGTCAACTACCCAAGTTTGAAGGAGTAGAGAGACAACAGTGGATTTTAAAGAACAGTGTTTTAAATAAAAGTAGGGTGGCTAGCTGAAAAATAAAAGCTTAAAGCGAAATCGGTTATGATCCAGACTGCAATCCACCATCAGGAGCATGCCAGCCAGAGACCCTAGACTTAGCAGTGAGCAATGTTCAAGAGCGGATTGCAAAGTTCAGCCACGCTGCTGAGTGCTCCACAGGCTTTGACCTACAGGCTGGAAGAAACTAGGGAAAAGCAACCCAAAATAAACAGGCAAACTCGGTCACCAAGGAGAAACAGCAAGGCACAGTGACCTCCCTGGCTGACGGCAGTAACGACAGGCACGTTAGCGCAGTGCTGGCAGAGGCTTTGCTCCCCCTGATGGCCTCGATTTAATCTTCCTGAGACTATCATGAGACTTAGAGGCCACAGGAAAAAGAAGGCTAGAGGGATCGCAACACTCCACAAGATCACTGACATTTTTACAAGGATCACTGCTTTGAGGCAGTATGGAGCATATGCAGCATGTGAAATTTCACCTACTGAGAGCTCTGTAAAGCGGCACCAGAGTGAGATCCTGGAACGAATTCCCTCCTTGTCTCCACTGTGATCCAGAGTTAACAAAACACAATAAAGCACACCAAACACAATCCCCTAGTGTTAACTATACAATAAGAACATTTATTTCATGTCAACACTTGTAAAAGAAGTCTCTTCCAAGTCAGATGATTTGATATACAAATCAAAGCCACCATACTTTTTTTTTTTTACTCTGTCCATACTGAGCTCGAATTTATACAACATGAATGCTTGTTTCTGAAACAAAATTACAAATTAAATCATAACAAAATACACAAAATTGACTGGACCCTAAGTTTAATTCACTGAAAGAATTCTTCTTTCCTCCAATCACCTTGAACTCCGCTCTTACCCATCGTTATGCTCGTCCTTCTGCTTGGCCATGAACTTCTGTAGAAATAAGGGTCATCAGTGAAGAGATACCGCTCTGTTATTCCTCAGTCCACAACAAGATCGTGCTCTACACCAGTGCAGGTTTCATAAACGTATTGGCCAAAAGTCAGCCTACTCCTGATACTCGTGTTGTGTGATCTGTACCAAAAACCACTCAACAGTTTTCCTCACAAACTGACACACACAGAGTCACCAAGCGGTGAAGCTCCTGAGTGGCAAAATATTAGGTACCGGCATTTCAGATGATGACGGACACCTGTGTCTGGTCATGAAATATAAAATAGTTATTCAATATTCACACAGGCTGGGTGTTCATTACGCCCACCTTACAAAAGTCTACGTCGATAAATATCTCCCCAGTTTCCTACCCCTCACATCAGCACAGAAAGGGGCTGCCTCCTCCCCCAGCTGGGTACACGCTGTGTCCCTGCCAGCCGGGTACACTGGCAAGACGTACTGCTGAGAGGTGGGGGGAGTTTTGACCCCAAACTTAAGTCTTCTGGCTGTCAAACTGACCTTTTGGTCATTTTATAACTGCAAGATATTTTATTTAGCCAGCCTGCAGCTTCAGTAAGCCAGGAAATCTGACAAAACCATGCTTTTGGACATAAAACTGCATAGCTCTTAAAAATCACTTCTTGAAAGTGAAGGGAAGACCCCACGCCTTCCTAGGGAAGGATGGCTTTATGTAGGTGATCAGCTTGAGTAATGTAACAGTATAGGTGTCTGAGTTTAAAACTAAAACACCTTGAAGTGTTAATATAAGCTCCCTATGCCACTAGGAAATTATTAGCACTGGTTAAAGCAAACGTTTTTAGAATGATATTCTTTTCACCCGGGTGTTTAGAGAAGCTTCAGCATTACCTCCATGTTCTGCTGATGAAGTGGTGTCTTGCAGTGATTTTTCACAGACGTTTCATCTGCATAGAACAGCGAGCAGATCTGACAGAAAAAGCCAGCCTTTGGAACTAGGTAGTCCAAATCTGAAGAGACAGCACACAATATTAACAAAACACAGCTTTAAAACAACCTATTAAAAAAAAAAACCGCACCCAAAACAAACAACAACAAAAAAACCCACACGGATTGCCACAGCCAAATCTGTACGATTTGTTATTACTAGAAGTTAGTTAAATTTTTTCATTATTCAAAAAAATTAGAATTGTAATGCGAGTTGGTCACCTGCCCTATTTCAATAAAGAGGAGAACACATGCTTTTCTGCAGCCAGGGTAACTGACCTTCTGGATCCGAAGCTCACTGCAACTACCTCAGCGTCTTTTGGCCTTAAAAGTATTTTATATACAACTCATTTGCCAAGTTTAACCTCTGTCCTGCAGTGTATTACGCAAGCATTTTCTGTCACAAAGAACATTACACAAGCCATCAGGCAAGGATCCATATTTTCCTAGCCACTTCTTTTGCGGTTCAAGTGTTATCAGTAGTTTTACAGAAAAGTCTTTTAGATGAGGATCTTGGAAAATAAATACATATACACACACGCGCATGCATTTTTAAAACCATGTAAGCAGTTCCCTCATTTCTACACATTGAAAGTTGGTAATAAAACCCGTAAAAGGATGAGAACCATAAGTAGCTATTGCACTGCACTGGCACTGTGCTAATTATAAATAAATTACCCTATATTTGTAAATTTCAGGAAAAAAGAACTTGCAATTTTGCTGCTGCTATTAAACCAAGAGCAGAAAGTTTTTAAGCATGCATTTGTAGGAGCCAAGATAAAAATCACAGGTTATGGGCCATGAATTCAAAGTTAAATGGGATAATGAGGCAAAGGAGGCATTTTTAAATGAGCAAGAAAGCTGACTTACAGCAAAACAAGTACGGAGCATTTGGGGTGGGTTGTTTTTTTTCGGTTTACCTTTTGGAGTACTCCGCGTCTTTGATACATCTGAAGAAGCCATCTTCTTCCGCTTAGACTCTGGTTCTTTATCGCCCGATCCCTGCTGATCTAATGGAGGCCATAAACGCACATTAGACAAAGGTATCTGCTAGTTTGAAAGTATTCTATATCTAGCTGTAATGGCTCATTACTGCTTCAAACAAACATCTGTACGGGCCTTGCTGTTTTCTACGCTATTTGGTTTGGTCTTTCCATAGAGCCATTTTCAGGAACTCCTGACATCAATGCTGCAAGCAAGGCTCCCAAACAGCCCCAGCGCTGCGGTGGATGACTCCAAAACCACTCTTAACCACACAGCACTCTTCACAGAAGTACCACCACCACTCTCAGCTGTGTTCCTCTACAGCTCTTATCAGCAGCTTCAAACCAGCTTTGTGATTATGAACATGAAACACTCAACTTCTTTATAATACAAGCTACCAAGCGTTCTTGAATTAATGTAGCTCAAGGTCCGACAGCAGTATTTCAGCTTCAATACAGAACCAGTCAAAGCCTACCAAATATGTTATCAGATTAACTAGCTCTAAGGAAAGATCAAAATCAACTTTTTAAGATCTTTCTGGAGACAGGGAGTTTGACAGTCTCCTCTATTACAAGACAAACAAGGTGTTTGGTTTTTAGACTATCAACGCAGTCCAACAGGCAGGTGAAGAGTTGCACACCAAAACCACCTGTTCTCTTTCGAATTCTATGTTCAAATAAGCTAAATACCAGTATGTCCTAAACAAGGTTAACGCAAAAAACCCTTTCCCTTAATAACAAACCCCAGGAAGCTGTCAAAGGAACGCAACAGACAGCAGCACTCTCGCATCCCCTCTAGCCATTTCAGCAGATTGTGTCTCACCACATCATCAACACACGAAGTTTCAGATTTGCCATGTGGCTCTTCACCAGCTGCAGTCTGACTGCGACCCTTTGAACTGCTGGCCTGAGGCAATCAATACACTGTTTCCTAGTTTGCTGCTGCAATCAGATTTCGAGACTTGAATAATATGGGTTTACTTGCTTTAACCTCTCCTTCCCAGTTTTCTTGTTCCATTTCTCAAACTCGGGAGGAACTAGTCCTTTCCGAAGCCTACCTCTTTTGCCTGAGGTTTTTTACTACACAGAGAGGAACTAAAATCACTTATTTACTGAGTTTCAAATATATTAATTATAACTCATCACTACCAGTTAGATCAGAAATCAGTTCAAGGGCTTGGATATTTTAAAAGGTCTTTTTACAGCTAACTTGCTAATAGAACATAGAAAATATTTTGCATTTTCAGTAAATGCTATTGTTAATCGTGAGGAAGCTTATGTTCTATAACATTAACAAAATCAAAACAATATATAACATTTAAATATTTTTGGGTGTGTATAGAGTCAACCAATCCCTTTCCTACTATTTATAGAAACTGAAGTTTAAAATGCTCTGTTTTAAGCAAGATATCTGCTGCTTCTACGGCTCCTCCGTTTCTGCACTGATCAGGTTGCCTCTACTACGCAAATAAAGTGAGATGGGAGAAAAGCTTTTCCAAAACATTAGAACAAAAGGTGCTGTGTCAGTGTTCAGCTACATCAGCAGAGACAGAAAGAAAACGCGAGACTACGGGACTGCATCACACAGAGCCTTCACCCACGCTTTGGCGAGAACTCTTCTTGTGTGTTGGTTATATATAGCTCTCCCTACTTGGCTCTCTCTTCGACTTTAACCCTTTGCTAATTCCATGCTACAGATGTTCGTCCACATTTTTTTTCTGCTCTAGATCCAGCTTGGAAGCTGTTACATTTTTGCATCCATTTCATTTGACTCACTTGTTTTAATAAAGTTTGGGCCCATAATTAAAGGCTATAAATAATCTGTACAGTGTTCAGCAGTTTACCAGGCCTTGCATTGAAGGGAAGAAAAGAAAGTATTTTTCCCCAATTTTAGCCGTCATTAACACCAAATAGAACACTATAAATCAACATGCCGCTTAATTTTACATCAAAAGAAAGGCGCCTTGTAAAACACATTAATAAAATACCTTCAGGCCGCTGCTCACTCTCAGTCTTGTTGTTTTTTCCCCAGCACCCCTTTCATTAACTTTGTCAAAGATTTGGGTTTTTTCAGTTTCCTCCATTTGGTGAGAGGATCTCTTTGTGCGTGGCGCTGATTACAAGCATCTTATTTTCTCTCTCCCTTCTAGAAATTATGAGAGATTCCTTACCTTTTGACTTTGAGATTGCCATAATTTCTTCTGGACTCATATCTCCCAGAATTTCCATTTCTTCTGGTCCTGCAACAGCAACAATGTCCTCCTCTTCTGGTCCTGCAATGGCAGCAATTTCTTCTTCCTCTGGTCCTGCAACAGCAACAATATCTTCATCGTCTTCACCCTCATTCAGATTTTTCCCTGGGGAAGCATTGTCTTCCTCCTCATCCTCCTCTCCAACTTCATCTACTGTAACAAAGTTTAGTTCCTCTTTTAGACGATTGAAATCAGCCAGAAAATCATCTTCATCTTCATTAACTTCATCCAAAGTCACCAGAGGGTTATCTTCATTGTCCTCTTGTATTTCATCTACTGTCACTAAAGCACTGGGATCATCAGGCACCTGAGAGGAAGCACAATCTCCAGTATCCTCAGCAGCCACTTTATCATCCTCCTTCTGTTTCAGCACATCCTCAATATTCAAGTCCGTAGGCTCATTCAGAGGCAGCTCTTCCACTTCGCCGATTTCATCTACAGTTACCAAGGGCTCAGCTTTCAAATCCTGCTCCTCAAAAACTGACCTAGGGATATCTTTATGAGAACTAAGGTCCTCCTGTTCAGATATCTCATCCAAAGTAACAAGCGACTGTGGATCCTTTACTGCTTCTGACATAAGTTCTTCCTCTTCAATCACTTCATCCACTACAACCAGGCCCTGCGGGTCACTGAGTGCTTCTAAATTAGCAACTCCCATTAGCTGTGCAGTCACATCCTCCTCCTCACCGATTTCATCCAAAGTGACAAAAGACAGTTCGCTTTCAGCAATGCATGCTATGGAGCTCTTCCCTTTTCTTCTCTTGGAAGTAGGCTCAGAAGGGGAGTTGTTTTTAGCACCGTCTTTTCTCTTTCCCCTTGGTGGATTTCGCCGTGTTTTAACAGGAGACTCAATTTCCTCTACGACCTCATCCACAGTAACAAATTCATCCAGGTTAAATGGAAACAGCTCTTCTTCCTAGGAAGTGTAAAAACGTGAATATAACAAAGTTTAACATTCACCCAGTGACACAGACACCTCCACCCACAGGGCGCCAAATGAACAATATCTACACGCTGAAGCTGGCTGAAGGGAAAAAAAAATGCAACTTGACTTAAGGGTAGAAAGAAATGTTCAGGCTTTCAGTCTCACGTGGAAGAGTTTTCATTATCAGCATTTGTATTAAGTAAGCAGATTTGATTCAGAAACCCAAAGCATTTTTAAAAAACACAGCCAATGAACAGACAAAATTTATGTCTATTACAAGAACTGGGCTGATGCCTTGAATACTCATGTGTATTTTTGCACTCACTTGCAAGAAGACTAGTGAAAATCTGAACACCTCCAGAGTATCATTCAAAAATATTATCTTGTGTCATACCTCATTTTATTCCCTAAGCACATGCTGTTGGCTCCTGCTACAAAACAGGAAACTACATTAGATGTTTCAATCCACCAAAGTCATTCTGCGTCCTGATGACAACTCACTGTTTCATCTTGCCTCTTTGGTTTCAATCTCCTAACAAACATCTCTGTTTCAGAGAGGTTCTCCAATGGCCCTACACTCCAGCCCAGGAAAGGGCTCCCAGTACTGGAACATCCCTTTGCTTCTCTGTAACCGACACGTACAAGACGACAATATTCTCCTTTCTGTTAAGGCCTGAGTAGCCCCACAGACTCTCTGGCAGACTTGCTGCTCTTCCTGTGCCAGCCATGTTTCACCAGGGGCCAGGGGCAAACTCCAGCTTTCTGGCGAATGCCTTACTGTGGTTTTATGCTTAAGATGACAAAGCCCGACCCTTTCTGTTCCTCCTCAGTCAGTGGTATGCTCTTACTGGTGAATGTCTTGCATCTAAAACTCCTCCTATCCTGTAGTTTCACCATGTCAGCTTCCATCAGGGTTCATACAAATTATTCTAGGACCACTGGAAAGAATTAGCAGCAATTTAATGTCATATGTAGCTAAGGACATCTGGAGAAGGATGTATGGGTAAGCGTTGAATTTAATAAGAGAGTTAATTAAGCCAAATTATTTTTAGGTTATTTGAATAGACAGCAGTCATGATTTCAGAACAGAGCATTATACTTCATTCACTGTAAAACTGCTATGCTTTTATAATCAGGACAAGAGGATAAGGTAGATAAAATAGGTACTTAAGTCAATTAACAAATTAATTTTAAACATTAAAATGCATCCAAATACCCATCACACTCAAATTATGTATTCAATTTCTTCAATGAAATTCCTAAATTAATTTTTTTTTTCCAAAATATTTCATCCTACCATCAAATACTGCTCAATATCTAACACAAGAAGAGTGAAAACACCCTTGTCAAAGCAGAACTTTACAGCCAAGGCAGGATGAAATGTCCTCTGTTAGACAGTAAGACTGCAGCTAAGAAATACTAAAAACAGTCCTCCAGCAGAAAAAGTAATCTGAAATTCAAAGGCTACATGCCTTTTCTTCCCATTCCTTTTTAAAAAGCTAAAAAATACTAGGAATAACGTGTGCTTCTAGCCACATTCTGATGCAGAAACTTGAGGAATATTTAATACAAGGTGGGCACAGTGAAGAAAAAGAAAGAAAATATCTGGTTATATTTCAACTGAAATCAAACGTTACTGTATTCTTTCTTCCATGAAAAGGAGAACACAGACCTCGGTTCTTAGCAGCTGTATAACACTGAAGAACAAAGCAGTAAGAAATAATTGACATTACGAAATCTGTTTTAGAAGGGCGCAGAACTTCCTCTTGGGGATTAACACAAACACACTGTGCTGGTGATGCAAGAAGTTCATATGAATTAAGATTAAGAAAAGGATTCAGGTCTCCAGCTTTATCTCAGAAATCCCTTTTCCATAGGGACCCACTACTTACCTGTAGTAGGTAGATCAAATCTTTGATTTGATCCTGTAATGCTACTTCTACAAACTCATCAATACGGATTTTTATTACCTTAACTTCTACTTTTCTTTCCCAAAACCCAAGCTAAGAGAGAGAGGGTATCTCTTTTCACCTTCTTATAAACACACAGACTGAGCAGTTCAGCCTATAGGCTCCTAAGCTCCTCTTCAAAACAACACTGCACCAAAAACATAGAGTAATCCTTGCTTTACAGAACAACGCACTGGAAAATATCTTTGCATGGAAGAGGTACCATGGATGGAGATGTTCTGACTACCTCCTGTTGTACAAAATAATTTTTGAAGAGCTAGAAGACTTCAGCCTTCCTTCCCCTTCTCACAAGTGTGATGACAAATAAAGTCTGTAACTAGTAATAAAAAAAAAAATCCCTAAGGAAGGACGCTAAAGATTCTTAGTACACACACACACTTAAAAGATAATCTGTACTTTAAGTTCAGTCATGGTTACATCCTTACCTCTTTTTGTTTTGCACTGCTGCTAGTGTCACTTTTTGAAGTTTTAGTATTGCCACCAACAGAAGCCTGCAAAATTAGACAAAAGTTCACATGAAATCAGTTAACCTGTCCACAAGAGAAAAACAATAATAAAAAAATTCAGCTATTTTTTCCCTTAATGAACTTGTTTAAGTTGTCCAGATTGCTGCTTCTGATCACATGCTTGGCAAATACAGAACTAAGGCAACCGTCAGTGGTAGAGTCCAGGCATACAGTCTCTAGCAACAAGTCACAGGTACCACCTTGCCTAGTAGCCTCTTTTCAGTAACCAGTGTCTGTGCAGGACTTGACAAAGCAAATATCAGCTCACAAAAGGACAGAAAGCCTATTAATTCTCGTTCAGAACTAATCGAAGAACATAAAGTTACGACACTCAATAAAGACTCGCTTCAAAAATACCTTCCTGCAATTTTTTCCAAGTAGTGTTTTCAAACCAGTTACATACTTGCGTTGTACACACTGCCTCTAAAAGCAACTGGTTGCCCGCCATCACGCTATTCCAACTTGTCTGTTGGCCCAAACCAGCTGAGTGGTTTACAGAAAAGGGAAGGGGAACATAATGTCATTGTCCCATACTCAACATCTGAGAGAAGCATGGAGTTAGTTACTGACCAGGCACACTGAACCGGCCTTCCTGCCCTCCTCACCTTATTGCTGCTGTTGTCTTTCTTCATGCTGGATGATCTACTCTCTCCCTCTTGAGACTGTTTTGAACTAGCCCTAGATTCCACTCGTGAGTCCTTCTCTTGCTGAGATGAATTCCTCCCATTGCCTCCCTTTCCATCAACAACAGAACTTCTGCTCATTTTACATTTGCCGCTGCCATCTCCCAGGCTTGATCGGCTGCTATCAGGTTGCAGATGACCCTCTTCTTTTGATGCGACTTTCTTCTCCACCACTGCTTGGCCTTGGGACTCAGGTTTCGAGGGAGCTTTCTGCTCCCCTCCTTTACACAGGGAAGGCTCACTTCTCCGTACTGGAACCCTTGACTTTGATATATCCGGAAGAGACACCATTGCCTTTAAAATCGTTTTACCAACAGAGGAAGACTCCTTGACAGATAAAGAGGAGCTTAACGTAACTGCTTTGCAGGTTTCATCAGTTTTTGCTGGTCCTGTTCCTTTATTTTGTTGTGCTTTGATTAAACTTCCCTCGTTGTTCTCATTGACGGTATTTGCAGCATTTTCCACAGCAGCTCCGACCTTGGCCACAAATTTTTCAAGTTTCTTCTCTGTCTCTGCCCCAGTCTTGACCAAAAGCTTTTCAGGGTTCTCCTCCACACCTCTTCCAACTTTGAGTGCAGACTCTTCCGGTTTCATCTGCGTGTCTGCTCCAGCTACATCCAGTTTATTCTCCGTGGCCACCCCAGTTTTAAGTACAGGTTTCTTCTCTGTTATCTGAGTTACAGGCATCTCATGTTCAATTTTCACAGCATCAGAAATAGGATTTTTTTCAGGAGCATCCAACGCGTTTGTGTGTGTGACAACAGATGACACCATGTCCACTGAAGCTGCATCAGAATCAGGGGGCACCGCTTCAGGGACAGCCCCTGTCGATTCCCCCGCTGACAGCTTCACAGCACAATCTGATGGCACATCTTCAGCCTTGCCCACATCGGACAATTCTTCTGGTGGTTCAATGGCAGGAGCAGACAACTCTTCAGCTTTAATTTCCTTCTCTGATGAAGATACAACAGCAGATTCAAACAACTCTGGTTCAGTATTATCTTTAACTGCCTCTTCTTTCTCCACACTGGAAGGCGGCAGCAGCATCTCTTCTGACTTCGCTTCAGATGATTCAGTATCAGCAGATTTGATAGATGCCACAGTAGCTTCAACTCCAGCGTCGGCTTTCTCCACGGATGTTTCTACCAGTCTTGGAGCAGACTCCCTTACTGCTCTTTCAAGATGGGACTCAGAGGGCTCTATCTGTACTGCTGACATCTCGTCTTTGACATTAGAGATGGAAATGGGTCCTTTCTTTGCCACACTAGGCTCTAGCGGAGGATTAGCAGCTGCTGTTTGCACCACTCCTGATCCCTCTGGATATTTTTTCAAGCCAGAGCTAAATGCATTTAAAAAAAACAGAAGAAATCAAACTATGTTGAGAATTCTACAGTTACCAGTAACCTCTTGACGCCAATGGTGGGGGCTTTCCTGATGCATTAGTGCTTATCATTTGGAAATCTAGCCTATCAGTGTTAAAACGGTTAAAAATATTGAGGCAAATAGCTGATTAGTTTTATGCTTCTGTTTAATCCACCTCAGTACTGCAAGCCTCTTACACCTTGAATTACATTACTTGTAGCCAGACCTCTCAAGATAGTACTCACTACAGATGTGCCCCTAGGACCTCAGCGCTGACATTAACTTCTAAAATTTAGATTCCCTGATGCAAGGCAGACTGTGAAAGCATATATACAGTGAAAATAAAGCTTCAGACTCCCCGTATAAAGGAATTACCATAGTCTTATGTTTGAAGACAGCAGACTCTGCAGTCACCAACCTAGAAAACTCTTCCAGTAGCTAGGATTTGAAGTTTGGTTTTGGTGTTTTTTTTCGGTTCAGGTTTGGGGGGAGGGAGGGATTGCTTTGTTTTTAAACTGCATTGACCTTGCACAATAGCAGGAACACAATACATGCACAGAGGCTCCTTTTGGCCAGGCTCTGTTTTCACTGTATAATCCCACTGTCAGCTCCCAGGATAATAAAGCCCAAGATGACAATGCAGAGGATAGCGCTTTTCAGAGAACTTCAGTTACATTAAGTGCATTATTCTTCTCTGAAAGAAAGAATCCTCCACAGATGATGTTGGAAGACACTGAAACTAGTGATGTCTGTGCCCCTTTTCCCACAAAGCTCGGGAAAACGAGCATACTAACACCTCGTGCATCTCTAAATGAAAAGGCGCTGAAATAGCAGTGCTGACAATCTTGCTAAGTATCAAAGCAAACACAAAAGCAGCAAATACACATAATAAATCAGTGGTTATGCACAATGGAGCAGTCTGCGCTACCGTTTCTCAGAACTTATGTATGTGAATACAGGGTGCACATTTGTATAAACCCTCAGGAAAATAAAAAAGAGCAGAGAAGTCTACCATTTTGTTAATACTCCTAGCATGACGTCAGCAAGAAAATGGAAGGCTAGATCAAATGGAATTCAGTGCTGACAAAAATGCTGTCTTGAAGCAGCCAGATGCGAGGGTTAACAAGACGAAGACACAATACATGGGGTCAACAGAAAGATGAAAACAGGCAAACTCAGTTAACATCATGTGCTATGCAAGCACAACAAAAACACCAATCTCGAAGGTCTCCTCTGGACCCAAGGGCACTGTCCTCTGCTGCTACAAAATGTGAGAGGAGAGATAAGAAGGGGTATGAATTCTGCTTCAAAATCTTTGCCAATTTTCAATTGGTGTTGTGATAGTTGTAATACGCCATGACTATGCATCAGACAGACACTTGCAGCACGCTATGAGGGCATTCCTCCTGTAGCAAAGCGGCAGGCCCGCAGCGTTTTGTGGCTTGGCAGGCAGGGTTCGCAGGAGCAACAGAGTGTGTGTGCTCCCAACGGTGCCCCACAAAATGCTGGGAATCTCCTTCAGAGCCCGAGCAGCTCAACTCATAGTAACTAAAGTCTTATGGGGGGGAGGGGGGGGGAAGCAACCTCACTCATCCCAACCCCACGCTCATCTCTAACAGGCTTCTTAGAGCTGTAATCAGTTTAAACTTGTTACTTGCAAATGTTTTGGGCTAAGTGTGCATCATGAGCATATAAGCAATCAGGAGCAGTAGGATAGTCCTTGATTCTTAGCCTGGCCAAGGAAAGTTTCAGCTATTGTAGCTGAGGAAAATAAATCCCAAAAAAAATCCATCAGCATCCTTGAAAGGAGCAGAGGCATTCACATAAGCATGGCAGTCACCTCAGCCACAAGGTTAGATGAACTACCTAGTCAGGCTGGACAACAACTGAGCTTCCAGAAGCACTCCAAAGTTTTTTCAAGATCACCTCATCATCCCAGGCAACCGAGAGGGCAGCCCCTTCTGCTCCCCAATTTTGCTACTCCTTCCCTCCCCAGAAACACGTGACAAGGTCTTCATATATAAAACAACATTTAAGATATTTACTGCTTCTTATGAAATGTAACTGGGAAAAAAAAAAACAACAAACCCACAGAAACATTCAAGTCACAAAGGCTTACAAGGAGAAGACAGTTGCCTCAGACAAGGAGAACGTGTGTACTGTTATTTTTTTTCAGTGGCGCCCAGTGATAGGACGAGGGGTAATGGGCATAAACTTGAACATAGGAAGTTCCATCTTAACATGAGAAGGAACTTCTTTACTTTGAGGGTAGTGGAGCACTGGAACAGGCTGCCCAGAGAGGTGGTGGAGTCTCCCACTCTGGAGACATTCAAAACCCGCCTGGATGCTGTCCTGTGCAACCTGCTGTAGGTGACCCTGCTCTGGCAGGGGGGTTGGACTAGATGATCTCCAGAGGTCCCTTCCAACCCTAACCATTCTGTGATTTGTAGGGGAAAATGTCAGTTTTCCCATTTGTTCAACAGCCACAGCAGGATGCTGGGCAGCAGCTCAGATTCATGTAAGAGTCACTTATTTTGATTAATTGCCACCACTAGCTAAAGCCCACCAGCCTGGAATCAAAAAGGTTACCTGTGTGTCTGCCTATGTGTGAGTCGGAGACAGTTTAGAAACTAAACGCTTCCATAATTGTCTAGGGCCTGCATAGAAGTTTCATGAAATAAGGAGTACCGAACTTTACTTTTGAAAGAAACAGATTTTGGAAATACAGTAACAGTCCATGACAGTATAATAGCATTAATTGAAATTGAAGTTTGGGACCATTATTACAAAGCTTTTTGTTTGGTTGGGTTTTTTAATAATAAAACTTATCCAGAAATATGGATTTGAGTCACAGAAGGCGTTTTAAGTCATATGTTAACCAGAACACTTATAATGATCTATCAATTTATTAAAAAAACATAATCAAGACTCTGAAACCAACAAATAGTTACTCCGTAATTAGAAATTTTGCTACAAGCAATGTCTGTAAAACAATTTAAAATGGAACATACCAAAACCACCATTTCCCATTTCTAGGTTCCGATGTTAATATAGCATCTAAACATCTTTTTAAATCAATTCAGGCACCTGTATCACAGCATGAAGTTAACATTAATAAGTTAAACAAGGAAGTTTCAGTTTATTTTTAGCATTTGGAAACAGAAACAATAGAGCCAGGTGCTCCGACAGAGGAAAGCGCTGTAGGACAAAATAAAGCAATCACTTCCTGGTTAAATACAACAAAAAATTGTCTTACCAACATGTATTTCCAAACATACTTTCCAGGACCTGTGGTAAAATCCTGGCCAAATTAGTAAAACAATAGTAACTCAAATGAACTACACAGAAAACAGGATTTCACCTCATCTGTCCATGTTCTTTGAAAGCCCCAGATTTCAAAGAAATCACAAACATTACACCTCTACAGCAATACGCAACACATCCTGCACACACAGAACACAAAAGCTTGATAGAAGTAACAGCAGGTAACAGTTGATGGATCTCACAGCAGGCTTTTTCATCAAGCTTACTTAGAGAGATGGCTCAGCAATCTGCTTAATCTTGCATATGAATTCCATAAATGATACAGATATATAAAAAAACCCTTAAATATTTGAAAGGCATACCTTCCTTTGCTTGGTTCCTCTTTCTTCACTTCTTTTTTCACAACTTCAGCAGTCTGAAAGGCAAAAATCAGGGTTCGGTATCTATGACTTTCAGAAGCATCAGCACAAAATTTGCATAACCCAGCTAATTAATAATACCATGAACCCTAATATAGGCATGTATCAAATGACAGTAAACTATTCTAAAGCTGTTCCCCACAGAACACGTATTTCATAAGATGACAAATAAAAGTGCGTGGCAGTGTAAGAGATTTTGCTAGAAATTTGCTAGATAGAACACGCAGCACACACCATCGTTTCGTTCATCTCATCTTCAAAGCTGTCGGTTTTGAGTAGAATTAGCTTTTGGTCTGTGATATATTTGGAAGACAGGGATGTTAAACGCATCTTTTCCCAGACAACACCTTCTTTCCTGTACTGGTGAGGATGCTAACAGCTGCAGAGCTCAGGGTGAATACCGTTTGCCTGACAGCTAAGTATTATACAGAAAATAGTGGCACACCTTTTCTAAAGACAAATTATATTCCAAGTCAAGCAACTATCTACAGAAAACCAAAGGCCAGTTTCTATTCCTTAAAACCTTCTAATGCAGCATTCATTTCTCATAGGATGACTACAGCTTTCTGCTTTCTGTTACATAGAATAAACTTGCGGTGTGTTAAATGAAATAACGTCTTCTGAAAAAAAGACAACCACAAATCATCCAAGCTCTGCAGCTATCACATTTAGTAGTGTAGGTCCAAGCAATCCACAAAAACTTTAAAGACTCAGTGTTGAAAACTTAATCTCTTTTCTGAAGGTATTCTACAAACTAATTTGAAGATTATCGCTATTAGAAAGAACATCAGATAAATTCAATGCATGTGGAATTCACTTTAATCTTTTATTTATGCACATAATTCCAAAGCCTTCAGTTTTTCCTTTCTAAAGACATTTATTCCAGAGATAAGTGCCAAAAGTAATGTGAACATGTTACAATGAATTAAAAATTATTTTGGTTTTCCTTTACCTTCTGATTGAAAGGCTTCTAGAGAAAATAGCTTACGGCAAATGGAGCTACAAGCTTAATGTTTCTATGGTACCTAGGCACATAATACAGATTCTGGCAACATAACCGCGAAGATGGCCAAGAGGTAACAGACTCAAAATACAGTGAAGAACAACAGATGGAAAAAACTGAAGTTTTCCCTCTTATCAGTATGACCGGGCATTTTTCCTCTCCACCTCAGATATAGATAAAAGTAAAGCTTAGGAGTGTATCTCCAAAGTACAGATTATCTTAACATTTGTGCAAAAGCTGTGACAGTCGCATTGACAAAGACTGGAATGACACCAATTGCAGCCATGCTCTATGATTCCAGTTGCACATCTTCCTTCACTGTTACAGGAGTTTCCCCATATTCTTGTTATTTCAGCAGTATTCAACTCACACATGAACAGCAAAATTACAGAAACAAAACTATAATGTGATTAAGCAAGCACTTACATTACTGCTGTTACTATGCCACTGGCAGCAGTTACTGCTATCTGGCTGGTCAACCTCTCTAAATCAGACAAGCACTCTGTATCACCTAAAGTGCGCAGCTGGAAAGAAATAGTATTTTGAAAACAGACTGTGAATGCCATTCTTTGTGGGCATTGAACTCTGCTCCGATGAAACACCTGTAGTGACAAAGGCACGCTATTCTGTTGCTACAGAAAATATAGGGAACAGCTATAAAAAGCAGATTTGAATCACAGTGTTCCCACAATGCATCCTTGACAAACATTCCTGAGCATGAGCACTTAATGAAGGATATTTGCCTTATTTTTCAGTGTTAAGGGAGCTTATTACTTGTATTTTTTTAGACTTGAGAAAAAGTTCATATGTCTGAAAACTTGGCTATTTTCTTTAGCTACAAAGTTAGTCTAATAAAAGATATTACTCTTAAATGAACCTGACATCATCTAATATAATTATAATTTATGTTCTTTAAAATAAGCTGAAGTTCACGATATAAACTGAAATACAAAATAAAGTGGCTTGGAAGAGGAGCATTTTTGTCCCATACAAAGAGAGTCAACAACAGACAGAATCATCCCTGCAATGGGGAAGAGGAGAGAGAGAAAAACTCTTGGAACATCCAATCCAGGCTCTGCCATCTAGCAGAGGAGGAAAGAACACCCTTCACACCTGCGCTCATCAGATTTTTAGCTATCAGCACTTCACCTGGAGCGGTTCCCACCCTGCATCAGAGGCCTCAGGGGATGCACACCAGCCCACCTTACCCTACCCCTGCCATACCGACAGTACTACACTCATCGGGTAGAGATGCAATGTTCCTAAGGAAAGTTAAACCAGTTCTCTGAATCAGATATGCAATTAAAAAGCACAGTAACGTGCCCAGTAACTGCTGATTTACTTGGAAAGGGCCATGATGAATCCACTCAAAAAAACACACATATCCAAATCACATCTGGTTGTGTATCCCCATATGTCCTAAACCACCACAGATACAACTCAACAACTATTGCAGGAGACCCCCACCAAAAATGCACACCTGAAATCTCTACTGACACTGCATGGTTTTAAAAATTTGAATCCTAAACACCGTACAGCTACTCTACAGATTTCATAAATATGGATGCTTTTCAATAAATCAGAAGAAATTGCCAATACAATAAAGAACAAACTATGATACAAGCCAAATATCAGTACACAACCTATTCTTTAAAAAAAAAAGTTGAAATTCATCATGATACTCAGTGCAAATAATACTGACAGTTGTGTCAGCTTGGTAAGTAGAAGTACATGTCTGGATGACTTTTTTTTCCCCTCCGTGTTGAAGTAACAGATTGATACCTTTGTTATCATTAGGCACCTAAAGTTAAACTTTCTCTTGTGTGAATAAAAGTGAAGGGAAAAAACTAAGATGCCCTGTCCCTCCAGGCACATCCTCTTGTTTGAATGGTATCCCAGAGTCATGCCACTGAAAAGTAAGAGCAACACACAGGGAATACGAGCTCCAAGAATGGAATTTACATGGATAATCAATTTAAAAAAAAATTTAAAATCTCCCACCCCCCAGAAAAAAAACACCACAAAAAAACCTATACATTTTTTGTCTCAGCCTCAACAGTATGTAAGTTTACGTTGAACTGGTTAGCTGGTCCCTGTTCTCTCAGTTATATATGAACTTTGAAGAACAAATACTGCTGGCATTCAGAGGAATAAAAGCCAACTTATATCCCATCCCCCTAAAATAAACGTAGTTTGAAAGATGTGGCAAGAGACGGAGAGTCAATCACTGGACAAGTGATTAATATGGCTCAGGAACATGAGAAAGGAGTTGAAAAATGAGAAGGCAGGGGCATGCAGAACTAGTGCAATAAAAAATCCTCATGTTCGAGTGCAGAGTAAACAGTGCTTTACCTCCAGGCTGGGAGGGAGACCATGTCTGGATTTACATTCTCCACTTTGGAAGCCAGAACCTTATTAGCATGTGGCTAATATTCACATTTCTTGCTTAAAGCTCTTTATCTATCCAATGCAATATGCACTAAGCTCCTTCCTCTCTGGTGTTCAGCTGCTGCAGCTTGCTTTTCCTTCAGCAAATCACCAGAAGTAAACTGGAAGCTGCTCATTACTGCAAGTAATTTAATTTCTAAGAGAGAAGACGGAAGCAGCTGAAGGCACACAGACCAATGCTGACATAGCAACTGAGCACGGAATCAAGAGGACTAAAGGAGATGAACTATTAAAGATTAATCAAATTAGACCAGAAAAACACTCTAGTAAATCCTTTTCTAACCAGTGTTAAATAGTTGCTTTCCTCCTTTCTTCCTTTTTCTCTTCATCTTTCACTAAGAAATACTGCCATCAGTGGAGATGAAAGAGATTCTAGATGTTTGTAAAACAGAGAAAGATACAAAATAAAGACAAAAAGCAACACATACTTTCACACCTATGCCACATCCCAGAACACAGACTACTTGATCCAGTTCCCAGCTGGTGCACAGTTTTCACTCTCATCCACAATGACAGCAAATAGTGAAGGACATACTGATATTGTCACCATTAGCTGCTCTTTATGGAAAGGTGGTTCTATTCCACAAAAATAAGGTATTATTGAAAAAGAAGAGAAAAAAAAACAACCTTACCTCAGCAGACTCTCCATTGGGTGACAATGTACATGTCAATGTATGCTCACCCATATTGTACGGATATTGCTTCAGGAAGCTGTACATTGATCTGGCTGACTTGGGACTATCCAGCTGCAGAATTGCCTAAAAGGAAAAAAAGCACAAGCTTCAAATAACTGTTACTTCATCTTATTTCTGTACAGCAGAACAAGATTAATAAATTAAGTTGGTATAGCTCAGGATACCTAGTACTCCTGAAGGGTTTCAACATCTTCACTTTAAATTAGATAAGCAGCATTTTTTTATTAAATCCTATGTTGGTGCATATGAAGAACAGTGGACTCTTCTTTCTGAGAGGCTAAAGAAAGAAGTCTCTCCTATTTGGAATTATCTTTAGAACTAAACAAGGAACTACATCACAAAACAGTGGAGCCTGGAGCTTCCCTACCCACATGTGTCTAACTTTCTGGCTACAGAAAAATATTATCTTTTCCTTAAAAGCATCTTCACGTGTTTTACGCTTTATTAGCAGCTGGACACTTAAAATAGCTCATAATAATGGGCGTACAATTACATTTTAACCGTTAAAATATACATACACACACAGTGACTTCAATCTAGTTCATAAAGTAAAAATCCAGTGTTGAGTGCAATACCAGGAACATTAAAAATTAAAATATCAAAATTTAAAAAAATGAAAATCAAGTAACTACATTTTGAAGTGTTTCAAAACAAAAAGTAATTTCAGCTATTCTGACATTTTCACTTCTCATATCAAAATAAATTTTCCCCCCCAAGTTTCCTATAAAACAGGAACTCATTTTCCCCCCCACTTACACCTCTACTGTCATAGGTTAATAATTTTTCCAGCTCTTTGGGAAGTTTAACTTTCAGAGCTTACCAAACTGTTCCTGTATTGTTCAGGCTAGATAACAGCCAAAAATTTGTTGGTTTGGGTTTTTTTTCCTTTCCCATTGCCCCCAACAAATAAGACAAACTATTTTCTTGTTCAGGATGAGTGGGAAAGAG